AATCAAAATGCCAATAAAATTGAAAATAAAAATAAAAACAATAATAATAATAATAATAATAATAATAATAATAAAAAGATCTCCAAATACAGAGATTCGAACACTCCTTTTAAGTGTTAGAAATCCGCCACTCCATCCACCAGACCAACGGACATTTTTCTGACCAAAAAAAAATTTATAACTTCCGGGATTCGAACGCAACCTCTCAACGCCAAAAGTCCGCCACTTTAAGCACCCGACCAAGGGACATTTTTCTAAAATGAAAAAATCCACAACTACCGTGATTGGAAAATGCAAAAAAAATATCCTCAACTACCGGGATTCGAACGCAGCATCCCAACACCAGAAATCCGTCACTCTAACCACGCGACCAATCTTTCGAAACTCGTTTAGTTACACAGCCATTTTTTTTGTCTATTCCCTCGATCAAAATCCAAAAAACGAAAGTAAAATCCCCATTGAAATCGTAGTCGTAAAATCGGAAATTGAACCAGACAGGCGCATCGTCGTCTTCTATAAGAGGGCAAAAAGAAAAAAGAAGAAGAAGCAGCAGAAGGAGTGGAAGAAGAAAAATAGAAGATCTGTCGTTAAGTTCGCGGTGAGTATTCTCCGAGTGGATGTTATCCGCGTGTCTGCCGATTCGACGCGGGACGCTCGTGTAACCGGTGTTGTTCTGCGCATAAAAGAGCAGTCTGCGGCGAATCCTGGTGGAGGTCGTGAAGCTCATCCTAGTCTGGTGCCCGGAGACAGATATGGCGAACACGAGCGTATAGAGATAGAAGATAGTGGTCCTTGAAGGTATATTGCCATCCGTATATACGTATCTATCTTCACATACATATATATACACTATATCCACCACTACTACTGTAGCAGTGGATATAGCGCCATATTCTATCTCTACTACTACTACTACTACTATAGTAGTGGTTATAGCACTATACATATACACTATCTGCTACTAATACTACTACTACTACTACTACTACACTGTATACATATATAATATATAGACAGTGTAGTAGTATTAGTAGCTATATATAATAGTATAGTAGTAGTACCCATATACATACCAGTATAGTAGTATTAGTATTTGTAGTATTAGTAGCTATATAATATATAAATATATACATATATAGTCTAGTGGTGCACTGCAAAAAGAATTATCTTAATTTCAGATGCTTTAGCAAATATCTTATTTTTAGATGTAAGATACAATTTTTCTATCTTACGTCTTATTTTAAGATATCAAAAAAAACACCTGTTTTTCCAGTGTTTACATAACTGACAAAAATTCCATTCTATATTTTAGTTTCCTAACTTTATCCTAATTTTAATAAAAAATATTTACTTCTTTCTTATCCTGCTAATAAATTAAATTCCTGCAAGAAATTTTATAATTCATGAAAGAATTTAAATATTCATTAAAAATAATTGAATTCTTTGGGAAGAATTTTATACAACTTTTTAAATAATAATTGATTTCTTTCGACTAATTTTATAGAAATTCTAATTTAAATAATCCAATTCCGAAGAAATTTTTATTATTCATGACAAAAATTGAATTGTTACGATGATTTTTACAAAAATTTTTTTAAATAATTGACTTCTGTTTGGAAATTTTATGAAAATAGTAGAAATTAAAAATCATTGTATTGCTAAAAGTTTTTAAAAATAATTAAATTTCCAAGAGGAAATTTATTACTTTTAAAAATAATTGCATTCTTGTGGTGAATATTGTTAATTATGAAAATAATTGAATTTTGTGAATAATTTTATTGAAACGCCTCAAAACAATTGAATTTTCAGAAATTATTTTGTAATTTATCGACATAATTGAATTCTTTCCAAGAATTATTTATGAAAATTATTGAATTTTTGGGAAGAATTTTATTAAAATCTTAAAGAATAATTGAATTATTTTTAAAAAATGTAATTAAAATTGTATTTAAAATAATTGATTTCTTTCGAACAACTTTATTACAATATATAATACTTATAAAGAATATAGTTGCTAAAAATTTTATTAAAATTTTTAAAAATAATTGAATTCCTAAGTAGAGGTTTTTTATCTATGAAAATAATTGAATTATTACTAAAAATTTTATTAAAATGTTTAAGAAGAAATAAATTTCTGTGAAAAATTTGGTTATTTATAAAAATAATTGAATTCTTCATAAGAATTTCATAAACATTGTGTTGAATAATTAAATTTTTCAAAATATAATAAATATTATGAAAATTTTATTTTAAATAATTGAATTCTTGTGAGAAACTTTATTTTTGAAAATAATTAAATTTTTCGATTAATTAATTTAAAATAGTATTAAAAATAATTGAAATTCTTCGAGGAGCTTTGTTATTTCTGATAATAATTGAATTCTTGTTTAGAATTTTATCAAAAATATTTTTAAAAAATAAAATTTTCATAAAAATTTTTATTATTAGTGAAAGTATTTGAATTATTATGCAGAATTGTATAAACATTTTGTTAAATAATTAATTTTTTCAAAATTTGTTTGAAAATGGTATTTCTAAATTAATTGAATTCCTGTAAAAATTTTATTATTTATAAAAATAATTGAATTTTGCAAAGAATTTTATTAAAATTCCTTCAGAATAATTGAATTTTCGACAATAATTTTGTTATTTATCTTTAATAATTAAATTCTTTCGAAGAAATATTTATGTAAATAATTAAATACTTGGGAAGAATTTTATTAAAATCTCAAAGAATAATTGAATTATTTCAAAAAAATTTCAATTACATTGTATTTAAAATAATTGCTGTTTTTCGAACCATTTTAGTAAAATATTTGAAAAAAATTGAATTCCTGGGGAAAATTTTAATATTTTTGTAAATAATTGAATTCTTCCCAAGAATTTAAAAAAAACATTCTTTTAAATAATTGATTTTTTCGAGGAATTGAAATTAAATTTTTAAGAATAATTACTTACATTTTTTGATCAATTCCTGTAAAATTGTATTAAAAATAATTGAAATCCAGCGATGAATTTTATAATTTATTAAAATAATTGAATAGTTACTAAGAATTTTATTAAAATTTTCAAAAATAATTGAATTCCCGAGAAGAATTTTATTATTTATGAAAATAATTCAATTATTGAAAATATTTGAAAATAATTGAATTTCGAATGTTTATTAAGAATAATTATTTGAATTATTAATTAATTATTAATAATTATTAATTGAATCGTTTAAGAATTTGATTCTAATTTTTGAGAATAGTTTTTTGATTTCTAATATTAGCGAATTTAAAGTAGTGGAATTTCTCAACGAAAAAAAAAAAAAAAAAAAAAAAAAAACAGAAATATACTCCAACGCCGGTTTAGCGGACTTTTTGGGTTGTGATTTATGATTTTCTTTCCGCTAAACCGACGTTGAAGTGTAGTAGCTTTTAGTGGCTGAAATCTAAAAAAAAGTACCCAAATTGTAGCATAACGTAAAAAAAGTAGTAAATAGTAGGTTTTAGTTAATGCTTACGTTAGGGTAACGTTAGACTAACTTTAGGCTAACGTTAGTTAACTTTATCTAATGCTTAAGTTAGACTAACGTTAGACTGATGTTGACCAACGTTAGGCTAACGTTAGACTAACATTAAGCTAACGTTAGACTAACTTTAGGCTAACTTTAGTTAACTTTATATAATGCTTAGGTTAGACTAACGTTAGACTAACTTTAGGCCCTTTAGGCTAACTTTAGTTAACTTTATCTAATGCTTAGGTTAGACTAACTTTAGGCTAACGTTAGTTAACTTTATCTTTTGCTTAGGTTAGACTAACGATAGACTGACGTTAACCAACGTTAGGCTAACTTTAGGCTAACGTTAGTTAACTTTATCTAATGCTTAAGTTAGACTAACGTTAGATTAACGTTTACGAACGTTAGGCTAACGTTGACGAATGTTAGGCTAACGCTAGTTAACTTTAGCTAATGCTTACGTTAGTCTAACGTAAGGATTAGCTAAAGTTAACTTTTCCACCTGGGTATATATAGTTTAGTGTTACATATAGCATAGTAATAGTGGTAGTAGTAGTAGAAGTAGACAAACACAGTGAAGAGAGCGGTGAGTTGGTGGCGGTGACGGCGGCATTGGCGACGGTGTATAGAGGGCGCGGGGTGGCGGGAGGTAAGAGGCGGTGGCAGCAGCTGGGGTGGGTGGGGTGGAGCGCAACATCCAGCTCTCGCTCTGCACTGCATCTACGGCGACTATCGCGGCAGCACGCGCCGTGTACCACGAGACCGACCCAGAGACCTTCGCGACCCAACCTCACCCTAATCTATCTCCGCGTCGTGCCGTCTAACCTCTCACACCGTGCGCTGCTTATTCAGGGGATTCCCTAGCGCGTCGCGTGCTCTCTCCATCTCTCTCTCTCTCTTTCACACACTTACTCGTTCACTCTCTCTCTCTCTTTTAACCACTTACCTAATCGCCCACGGGAACTTAAAGAGTGTCCACGTGTCTTCCGCCATTTTTAATCATTCGCCACCACCACTTTTTCAAAAATTACCACATTTTTTTGCTACTATTTCTAAAGTGATTATTTATTTTCCAGTGATTTCTTTTTTTTATTCTTCAAGTGATTTTTGATACTTTTTCTTTTTTCGAAATTATTCTCTTGTTTTAATTTATTTATTATTAATTCCGATTTTTGAGAATTCCTGTTTGGAATTTCCCTTTTTGGAAAGATTTATCCCCTCTTTTGAAAATTTAGTTTGGGAAAAAAAAATTTATTTTTGAAAAGGGTTGAATTTTATTGGTTTATTCTCTTTCCTTTCTTGTTACTTTGAACTCCTTTTCCTACCATTTTAATTTCTTTTCGAAATTTTTTTTTTCCTTGTCACCCTTTTTTTTTTTTAGTTTTTGTTGTTGTTTTCGATGATTTTTGAGATCAATTGATGTAAATTGTTCGTGAAGTGACTCGTGACGTGATCGAGTGAATACACCGGTTGGTTTACCACTCGATGACAGCGGTACAACCGCGATGTAATTGCTCGTTCGACAAGAACGAGGTGCGCTCGCGCGTTAGCGCGTCGCCGCAGTAAATTAACGTCACAGTTGTACACATTTTGCGAGAGAATCGAGAAGAAAAGAGAATAAATCGAAAAATAAAAGAGTGGGGACAACAATTTCTCCATATATATACAAAAAATCAATTATTTCTTCGCAGATCTTTTCTGTTTTGAAAAATAAACATAAAAAAAATCGAAAGTTAATTCGATATAAATTAACGGTCGGAATTTTCGAATTCGCTCAAGAAAAAAATAATATTCCTGCTCTGGAAACAAGAATTTATTCTTAATTTCCCCCCATTTTCAAGTTCTTGAAAAGTACTTTTCGGAATTTAAAAAAATTGGAAAAAATAGAAACTGAGGAGTGAATTATTTTTTTTTTTTTTTTGAAAAAGAAGAAGTGGGTTTTCGAGGAAAGAATTTCAAGAAGGCGAACAACAACGTATAAAGAGAAGGAGACGTATACCATGAGCGACGGCATAGTCGGTGCAATTACGATCAGTTTGTTCGGTATTAAAGTTTATTGTGCGCTGAATTTAATTGTGTGAGTGTGAAATTTTTGCAGTTTTTTTTATATTTGATAAACGGCTCATTCCAGGAGGTGAGAAGAAGAGGAGGGGGAGCATGGACGCTGGATACTCAATGCTGAGTGGCGATCTCGACGTCTCCAGGATGTTCGACCAGTACTCTTACAAGGTCAGTGCTTTTAGATTGTTTTCTGAGAGAGTGTTAAGAGGGAGAAATAATGTCTTTTATAAACGAAGAGCGCAAATAACTTATATGATGGTCGTTTTAAAAATACTGTTTTTTTTTAAAGAATTACTTATAGAAATATTTTTGTTTTTAAACAAAATGTTTAAACGAATACAAGAAATATTTAAAAGAATACAAAATGTATTAATAGTATTTTAAACAAATTGTTAAAAAGAATACAAGAAATATTAAAAATAATACAAGAAATATTAAAAATAATACAAGAAATATTAAAAAGAATACAAGAAGTATTAAAACGAATGCAACAAATATTAAAATGAATACAAAAAGTATTAATAATATTTTAAACAAACTTTTACGAATACAAGAAATATTAAAAATTAAAAATAATTTTAAAAATATTAAAAAGAATACAAGAAGTATTAAAACGAATACAACAAATATTAAAAAGAATACAGAAAGTATTAAAACGAATGCAACAAATAATAAAAAGAATACAAAAAGTATTAAAACGAATGCAACAAATAATAAAAAGAATACAAAAAGTATTAAAAAGAATACGACAAATATTTAAAGAAATTAAAAAAATATCGCTCTTTCTGTTCTAAAGCAAAATGACCTGAAGTTAGTTAAAAACTACAGGTTAAAAAATTAAAAGTAGAAAAAAAATATTAAGAAAACATACAATTAAATTAAATTAGCAGAAACATAAAAAAATTTTTAAAATTGACAAAAAATAAAAAAATAATTTTAAATTATAGGTCAACATACTAAATACTAATGATAACAAAATTTCAGGGCAAAATACTAAAAAAATAAGGAGGCTAAAAATCGTAAAAAAGATAAAAGATAAAAATACTGATAAAAAAACTAAAAAAAACATAAAAACAAAAATAAAGAAATAAAACTTCTAAATTCTAAAAAAATAAAAGTTTAAAAAACCTAAACTAAAAAAAAGAAATAAGACGAAAGTAAGAAACTGAAAAATGCTGAAATAAACGGAAAAGACAAATAATAAAAAAAACTGCAGGTCCAAATACTCAAAAATGCTAAAAAACAAATAATAAAAAACTGCAGGTTAAAATACTAAAAAATGATAAAAAACTAAAAATAATATAGAATAAGTAAAGGTAATAAAAAAAGTGCAGGTCAAAATATTAAATAGAAATTTAAAAAACAAAAGAAATTAAACAAAATTAAAACAAAACTAAAACAAAAGAAAATAAAAGAGTTTAAAAAATAAAAAACTAACAAAAGTTAAAAAAGATTTAACAAACTACAGGTAAAAAATGCGAAATATGTACTAAAAATAAAAAACCTGCAGGTCAAAATAATAGAAAATGGTAAAATACAATAAGAAAATAAAATTTAAAAAATACAGGTCAAACCCTCCAAAAAAAATAAATATAAAACAAAAAATAAGAAAATTAAACATTGCTAGAAAAACTAAAACAGCAAAAAAAAATGCTGAATTAAATACTAAAAAAACCAAAAGTCAAAATACTAAAAAAAATGCTGAAATAAACAAAAAAGACAAAAGCTAAAAAACTGTAGGTCAAAATACTAAAAAATTCTAAAAAACCGAAAGATGATAAAAGATAATAAAACACAGGTCCAAAAATCAAAAACAAAAACCAATAAATTGTTAGAAAAACTAATGAAAGAGAAAATTTAGGTCAAAAATTTATATACACAACAAAAATAATTCCCATATTTAGGTCAATAACAAATACAATTTCAAGGACTATCGAGGGTTGAAAATTTATATAACCTAAAGAAAATCTGAAAATTTTTGGTCGAAAATCAGACAGATGGGGTTAAAAATTCAAACTTAGAAATTAGGTCAAAAATTAGAAACATAGTTAAATGAAAAATATGAAATTTAGGTCAAAAAAGTGACAGTTACGGTTATTAATCCAAAATTGTAATTACATTTTAAAAGTTCAGTAATTTACTTGTTAAAGATTAATATACTTTATAAAACGAAAGATAAAAATTTAATCTTAAAATTTAGGCCAATAATTTTAATTTACAGGTCAATTGGTGAAAATAATCACGAAATGTATGCCAAACGTTATAAATTAAAGGTCAAATATAGTTTAAAAATATTATACACAGTTAAAAATTGCAAGTTAATTTACACGAAAATAGAAAAATTTAGGTCAATTCAGGTCAATTCGGTCAAAAGAATATAGTAGATAACAGAATAAATAAAAACGAAGCAAAATAAATGTACAAAATATTAAAAATAGTTACAAATTAAAATATTATTTAGTTAATTAGGCTAAAAAGACAAATAAAAAAATTCCGGTCAAAATTTACATGCGAGTATAAAATTTAGGTCAAATTAGGTCATTTAGGTCAATATGAAATAATAGTCAACTTGCAGAATAAATAGCAAAAATAATACAAAGTACCGTAAATAATAATTACAAATTAAGCATTAGTTAATTAGGAAACAAAAACGAACGGAAAATTTTAGGTCAAAATTATTATGAGAATGAAAAATTTAGGTCAATTCAGTAAAAATAATAAATAGATAACAGGCAGCATAAATACTAAATGATGATATAAAAATTTTTAGGTCAAAATTATAATGAGAATGAGAAAATTAGGTCAATTCAGGTCAATTGGATCATAATAAAAAATAGATAACAGGCAGAATAAATAATAAATAATAAAATAAAATTTTGTAGGTCAAAATTATTATTAAAATGAGGAATTTAGGTCAATATAGGTTAATTCGATCTAAATAGAAAATAGACAATAGGCTGAATAAATAATTAATAAATAATGAAATAAAATTCTTTAGGTCAAAATTATTATGAGAATGAGGAATTTAGGTCAATTCAGGTCAATTGGATCTAAACAAAAAATAGACGACAGACAGAATAAATAATTAAATAAAAAATTTTAGGTCAAAATTATTGTGAGAATAAGAAATTTATATCAGTTTAGGTCAATTGGGTAAAAATTAAAAGTAGGCAAAAGACAGAATAAATAATAAAAGTAATACAAAATAAATATGCAAAGTGCTATAAATAAATTTTAGTTAAAAATTAAAGATTACTTAGTTAATTACGATAAGAAGACAAACAACAAAATTTAGGTCAATATTCTCAAAAGTTAATTAAAAAATAGTTAATTACAAATTTCTCGATTCAAATTGCTTGAAGCAATAACAATTCACAATTACGTGATGATAAACTATTTCTCAAAATTGTAGCACTATCTTCGATTTTGCAAGTTGTGTACGCGACTTCTCATCAATATTTCAAGCAGACACTATTCAAAACTCACACAGAATCATAAATTAGAAATACGGGAATCAGTGCGAGATATATACGATAACTTTTGCGATGTAATTATGTCAAGTAATTATTAGTTTTCCAAATAGTGGTAAATGAGATTTTGTCTTCATTAAACTAAATGTGAAACTCAATGAGGAAATGAGATTAGTTTCCCGGTAATAAGAAATTATAACAAACATTTCATAATTACATTCAACTAATGCACGAGTTATTAAAACTTATTAATTAACAATTTTTTTTCTCTCTCGTTCAGCGTTTTCTTTCTTTCTTTTTTTTTTAAATAGTGAAACTTTCCATGAATAAAACTCGAGGTAAAAAAAAATATATATGGCTTTATTAATTTAACTTGAAACTTCTGAAAATTGAAATGGATTTGAAAAGTAATTACCGATAAAAAAAAAAATTAATTATTAATAAAAGTAAAGTATTCTTCATACGTGGGAGTTAACGACGTTTTTTTTTAATAAAAAAGTAAATTCAAATTGTAGTGTTCGATAATAATTTTTTTAATGTTCGAAATTAAAAAATTGAATGTAATTAAAAATTAAATGCATTAAATTAGCAATTAAAAATTTGCTAATTAGAAAATTTTAATTAGAAAAGTTATTTAAAAAACAATGATATAATTGATGGAAAAATTGTTAATTAAATATTGTCATTTAATGTTGATTCAAGTAATTATGTTTCTAATTAAAATTATATAAGGATCGGTAAATAAATATTGAAAAATATAGTAATGAAATTTAAAAAAAGTAATATTAATATAAGTTTATTATTTTTTTATTCAAATATAAATAATAATAAATAATTATTGAATAATAAACAAATAATATTATTAGTTACATTTTTCGTTTTATAGATTTATTAATTAATTAAATTTTTCGCTTGTTAAATTTATTAATTAATTAAATTGAATTCAATTGAATATAATTAAACTAATCTTAAAACAATGCTAATAATTTTATTATTATATAATTGTTTTCTACTAAAGGAAAATAATTTATTGAATTAAATATTTTTCAATTAAATTTAATTAAAATTAAATATTTTAAGACCTTGTAAAAATATTTAATTTAATAATTCAATTGATAACGGACGTAAAATCAATTAATCAGAATAATTTATTATCACTGCAATATTTCGCTAATTATAAATAAATAATTAAAATTTGAGATCGCAATTACTAGTAAATAATTCGAGAATTTACAAATATAATTAATTTCCTCCAATAAACGATTTTAATAATTAAAATTTTTAAAAAAAAGTTTTTGGTCAAACATACGTTGATTTAAGACACCAAAAATAAAAAAGATTGTCAAAGCGAATTCTTGATATTCCTTAATTAAGAGTTTCATCATAAGGTTCAATTTACATTTTTATAACAAATTATAGAACTAGCTAATTATGCTGTCAAACGAATAGGTTGTTATGGAAAGTCTCTGTAATAAAAGTTTCACAATTGCATATGCAGCGTAATTGCCTCGAGCTAAGTAGGAAAAGAAGAAAAGTTTCACAATGTTTCAAGTCATTTTTTTTCATCTTTTTTCCCCCTCTCCCTCCTCCCTCTCTTCCACCATTTTTTTTTCTTTTTCATTCCTCTTTTTTTAACTTATAATAAGCGTCGATAACTTTAAAAAAGTTCTCTTATATAGAAGATTCTTTTTTAAAATA